CATTTATATACAAATTTTTCTATGCTCATATTACGTATAGATCATCCTGCACACAAATGTACGCATATGCTTTTCTATGCAGGCACGCATACGAATATTAACATTCATAAGAGAAAAAAAAAATTTTAATTTTTTTTTTTAATATAACTTGATAATATTATGTAGTGTTCATATATTTTTCTTATATTGAATATGTATTTTTTTAATATATTTTAACTAGAAAAATAAAATTTTAATTTTAGGTAAAATTATTTACTTTTTATATTATTTTATTTTTCTGAATAATTAATTTATAAAATATGCACCCCAGTCAATATTAATTTACGAAATTTTCCTTTTTTTTTTTTCTTTCAATTAGAAAATTATTATTATAATTATGTAAAATAAATAAACAATTTGCCACACTTTTTAACTATTTAAGTAACAATTTCATCTAATTTGAAGTATTACAAAATATGAAATTTATATAATATTTTATAATGTAGTTGAAAATGCAAAAATATCTACAGAAAATCAAAAAATATATACAAAAAAAGATGGCAGTTAATTTAATTTTTATCATAACGAATTTATACTGTTGTGAAAAAAAAACGAATTAGGAATTATTTAATTCACTGAATCTTTAAATTAATAGAAAATTTTATGGTTTTTTAAGAGTCAATTTAAATATAAATATAACCAGAGGCATGTTTTAACTTTGATATCATTTTATTGTAAATTTATTTTTATACAAAAAATTAAAAATTGCAAAAAAAAAATATATATATATATAACTATTTTTGCTTCAGTGTTAATGATTATAAAAATTCAACATTTTTTTTTCTAATTTTTATTAAAATTTTTTGGTTTTTTTTTTCAGTATTAGTTTCTACGTACTTTTTATATCTTTTTTTTTCAGTTTTCATATTATAACTTAAATGCTAATAGAAAATTTTCATTTTTATTACAGCCTTTTTAAATTTTTTTTTTATTTAATTTTTTTTAAGATTTTTTTTTTATTTTTTTTTTCATTTAATTATTTTAAAGTATTTAATAACAACTAATAATAGCTAATTAGAATCAAGAAGAAAAATATAAAATGTTCAAAATATGAATAACTACAATATTAAAAAAAAAAAAGAAATGAATACAAACTGTTAAAGGAAATAAAAAATTATATAAAAAAAAAAATCGAACTTAAGGAACAAAAAGTTAATTAAAAAAAAATTTTGAAAAACAATTTTTTTTAGAAAATTTTCTTTCTAAAAAGAACCGATCTTCTCTTTAGCTAAATATCAAATATGTATATATGTATAAATGTAAATTTCGTTTTCATTATTAAATCTAATAGATAATAATTATTTTTTCTTTATTCTATTTTAAATTATACACACATATGTACAAATTATCGATTTGTTTAAAATATTTTTGAAAATTTTAACAATCTTAAAAAAATAAGTTATAAAATATATAAAAAAAAAAAATTTCAATAATTTTTTTTTAAACCAGTGCTTTTTTTAAACCAATGAAACTCCATTAATCAATCTTGAATTAATCTTAAAATTTAATAATTCATAAATTTTCAAAAAATGTATTATAAATATTTATATATCGCTTGATTGCTGCAAAACAGTAACAACTCGAAAATATTTTATTTTAACATGATAATTTGTGCAAAACTTTTCAATCTATTTCAAATAATAATCCTACTTTTCGAATGGCAAAATTAACCGTAAGTGAGCAGATGATTGCGTTAGGATTTTCTATTTTTAAAAAATAAAAAATTATGTTATAATTATTTAGTACAATTAAATTGCACATAATTTTCAATTTTTTGAAATTATTTATTCTAAGCTGCCGATTTATAGCTTTTTTGTAATTAAATTGTAGAAAAATTTTTAATGTTACTATGAAAATTTTGAATTGTTACAGTTTAAAAGAATTTTGAGTTTGTAAAATAATTCATTGTGTATAGTTTTTTTTTTATAGATCAATACAATCTTTAATTCTTAAATTTAAATATTACTACAATTTTCAATAAAACAAATTTTGTTAGAATTTTAAGAAAATTTCACTACAACGCTATTAATTAATTTTATACAAAAAAAAAAACGATTTTACCTAAAAAAAATATAACAAAAAAAAGCAAAAAGAGGATGGAAGGAAATAATTCACTTCAATTCTCAGAATTTATTTTAAATCAACTCATAAATAGTACTTAATATAACATTCAAAGGTATACATATGGTTGGATTTCTATACTATTTCAAAAATTTTGTTATAAAAATTTTGTTTTATTTCAAATTTTATGTGAACACGAATTTAGCTTCATTTTATGTAACAGTCAATATTACAAGACAAGAAAACGTGTTAAAAGAATTTTTTATAAATACTTTTCATTATATCAATAAATCGGCGAAATTAGTATCATAAATTTTATTTCGAAATTCCATTTCAAACAATTAATAGAAAGCAAAATTATTCATCCAAAATTTATCGAAATTTTAATTTATTTTCGAATAAAAATAAAAGTTGTAATAGGAGCTAAAACAAAGTATTTTCCATATCACAAATTTTTTTAAATATTTAAGAATGAAAATAAAAGTTTTTTTTTCGTATAAGTACAGACCATTTTAGATTCGCAAGGTTATAAAAAAAAATATTAAATATTCCAAATCAAATTAGAAAAAAATTTATATTCAAAATCTAATTTATTTGTAATAATATTTTTTTAATAAATAAATTGATACCCATATGCCAAAAAAATTATATATGTATAATATTTAATAACAGTATATTTTACGATTAATTTTTGACATTATAAAATAGTTTTTTTTAAATTAGAATTTATTGAAAATGATTTCTTTAAAAATAGGCACGCACAATACGTTATTTTAATTGAGTAAATATTTCAAAATCAAAATAATTTTAAAAATGTGGCACGCAGTCTTAAATTATTATTAATTACGAAAAGGCACATTTCATTTGTGGTATCAAATACATCATAACCTTATGTTATTTGCTTTCTATAATCACGCATAAACCAAAATTAAAAGAAAAACTATTAAAATGACTTTAATTTAAAGGGTATTATAATTCCGTTAAGAAAAATTTAATTAAATACAATTTATGTACATATAGATTTTAAATTTACATATTTTATTTTTTTTTACATATTTTTGTGAATTTATATGTTTTTGTTTATGCACTTATTTGCTATTGTTGAAATGGTATTACTTATTATTCGTAAAAATTACATATTTTCATTGATTATTAACATTTTATTATTTAATTCAATACTTTTAAATTTACTATTTTGTAATGTTTTGTTACTTTAACTTCATATATTATATATAGGTATGATTTTGATATTTGAACGTTTTATACAATATAACATATATGTAATATGCCAAATACGTTACATCGAAATTCATTAAAAGAATTTTTAAGTTTTTATTAGTGTACATGTCTAATAGATTGTTTATATTGAATATTTTTAGACTCACATATTAAGCAAATCCATTACGATATTTAAAAATATAATATTGTTTAGTTATTCCTTTTATTATATTAATTTTCTTAGAAGAAAATGTTGTATGTTTTTATGTATAAATATATGTACATTGAGTTTTGTTTTGAATAAATTACTTATAACTTTATAAGTTCACTTAATTTGTAATAAAAAATTTTAGTTAAAAGCAGTTCACATTACACTTTAGTATAAATATTGTAGCTCATTTAAATATTGCTTTTTATAATCATAAATTATGAATTAAAATTTAATATTTTCTAATTTAATTTAATTTATAATACAGAAAATATAAAAGTATGCATGTTTTTTTTGGCATAATAAATGAAAAACCAAATTAATTTAAAAAGAAATATAAATAATGATCATTTTGTTGTTTATATTTTAAAAAGTATGTATTTTCTTAAACTATTTCTGAAAATTTGCAATCATTTAATAAACCTTGTCTTAATTAAATAATCCATTATAATTTCGGAACTTTTTGGTGATCTTATATTTTTAAAACTTAATTTAAATTTTTTTCTATTTTGTAAATTAGAAATGATGAAATGTATACTTTGAAATCTAGAAAACGGAAACACGATATTTAGAGAAAAAATTACTGAAAAATCAAAATTGTGTACAAAATACATTGTTTCGGACCGAATCAATGAAATTTTAATATAATTTCCTAAGAATCGTTATATTAATTTATATTAATCAGTAAAAAATGTATAAAATTGAATAAATTTTTAACAAATAAGAAAAAAAAATAGTGATAGAATATTTCTTGTTTTATTGATAATGATGAAATATTTCTTTGTTTATGTACATACATATATGGCTTTTAATAATCATTATATTTAAATTATAGTAAACATACAGCATTGAGCAAATTCACAATTTTTAAGTGATATAAATGAATTTTTCACTTATTCTTCCACTTATCATTTTAAGAGATCTGTTCAAGTTCTTCTACTTCTTCTTTGATTACTCTTTATTTTGTTCTCCGAGTAATTTAATCCTTCAAAATAAAATTTATTAGTAAACGAAACTTATACCAAGTAATTAATGCAAAAAAGGTTATGAAATTTCTTAAAATTATAAAACACAATTTTTTTATTTTAAAATTGTTCCAATTTTAAGATTTTTTAATATTTTTTTAGTATCTCATGTATTTATAAATCCAATATTTAGGATTTTTCATTTTACTGTAACAGATTTATAATTGAATAATAATTCTATTAACTATCACACAATATAGTATGTAAATCAATTAATCGACAATTTTTGACTTATAAGAAGCAAAGACGTTTACACTTTTTGTTTCTTTAATTATTGAAGCACATAAAAATATAAAAGATATTTATTTTGACATATTGTTCATATGACTTCTTATCAAATATAATAATATGATAAAAATGATAAATATGACAAAATGGGAAGTAAGTCGAAATTAAGTTACTCAAATTATAAAGTGATCTAGTTGCTTATCTAGAAAATATGTTATACATACAGTATTCTATTTGAATTTACATACTTATGTTCTTTTATTGTTTCTAATTATCATGCTAAAAAATATAATTCTTTTTTAATATTGTATTCTTAAAAATATGAAAAATTACAATTCAATTAACAAAATTTCAAATTTTTATTTAATATTGGAACTCGCTTTAAAGTTAATAAAAATATAAAAAAATAATTTTTCTCGTAAAAATATTTTTTTTTCTCATAACATTTGATGTTAGTTTTTATGAATTAATCAATTTCATTTCATTTATATTTTTAATAAACCTTTTTATATTTTTTTCTACAAGTTTATCATTTGTTTCTTTTTACGTTTGGCACTGGTTTTACTTTTTTCGTTCAGTCATTTACTATCCTCTATTACATTTTCTTTATTCATCTCTGGTCTAGATTTCAGATTTTTAGCTTCTCCCATCGTCGTAGTTGTAATCGAATTTGGTGCTTTAACTGCTGTTGCATTTTTCGGTGTAGTATCACTGGATTCATTTTTTGTCCTATTTTTTTCCTTTTGTACTTCTTTGTTATCAGTAGATGCTGTTGCTATAAGTTTATTGCCAGTGTTTGCATTGTTTCTCGGTCTATTTTGATTTTGCTTATTCATTTTATGGAAACCGGATCCGCTACCTATACTCGAAGATATATTGCTATTGCTACCAGCATTACTACCTCCATTTCGTCGAAAATTACTTTTATTATTATTGACTATTTGAGGTTTAGATCCCATTGAACCACTTCGTACTCTTACTTCATATTTTGAACCAAAAGATCCGGTTCTTCGACGATTGCTAGATCCGTAGCCACTTGCAGCGTTATGTTGATGTGCATTTTGATGAATTTGATTACCAATATAATCACTCCGATTTGTAATTGTTGTATTAGGGCGTTTTCCACTACCTGAGCTTGAGCTTCTACCAGTAGCTTGGAAACTTTCACTTTCAGATAAGCTACGATGGCGTCGATTATTGGAAGATCGAGGTAAGTTTCCTACACCTTGTAACATTTCGTTTATTTCTGGTTCAACAACTCGAAAATCTTCAATAGTTTTAAATTTAGATAAATATTCTTGAAGTTTTCGGTCAACTTGTAATTTGGGAGCATTTTTGTAATATTTTAAAAATGCCCAAAATTTTTCGAGTCCATAAAGTTGGCCTAAAATCATAATAATCAATTTTAAATTAAAATATTGAAAAAATATGAGAATTGAGAATAATATATGATATAACTTCATTTTACCTTTTTCATAATCAGCCATTGTTTCCTCTTGAAAATCATCATACAAAAATGATCGAAACTTTTTCTCTAATCCATAAGAATAAAATCGGAATAAACATTCTAAACCATAACGAAAACCTTGACCTGCATCTTCTAACGCTAACTGCCGGAACTCATTGTACATATTTTTATTGAAATTCTCACGTAAAAAGAATGACCAGAAACGAAACAATGTATTCATTTCCTGTGACTGACCAAATCCTAAACGACGACGTTCTTTCAGACATCTATGATGATATTTATGATATGCTTGTTGTGTAAAATTGTTCTCTTTGAGCAAAGCGTGAGATGGATGCTGAAAAACTGGCAAACTTTGAGGAACAGACGATCCGTAACTCGAAGTTGTAGGACTAGTTCCAGCTGAACTACCCATACTCGAAGTACGTGGACGATGTTCAACAAAATCCAACACCCAACCAATATGACCTTCAAATGGTGGGTTTCCTGAATGACGAGTTTTACGTTTACGTGGGGTACGCGGATCAATATCGTTTGTATTAGGGGCCGCATAAAATCTGGCGCGTCTTTGAGCACTACTCTTTGCGGATTTATTCAAGGTTGAATTCATTGATTCATCCAAGTTCTGTTCATCATCAATATAAGTTGGTGGCGGTGGAGGAGGAACTTCTTGATTAGCTTTCTTACTAGGTTGTTTTGGAATGATCTTTTGGAAATCTTCCTGAGATATAACATTAACCGTTTTATATTCAGTAGGTCCAGTTGAAACTGTCCACAAATCTTCTTCATAATTAGTCAAACCATCGTTAATCACCTGTTCTAAATCCTGAGTAATTTTTGTTCGACTAGTAAAATCAGCAGTTCTGTCATAACCTTCATGCTTGGGTGCACGTTGAACTTGTGAAACAATTAGCAATTTATTAATATCACGATCAGAAAATTCATAATCGGAATCATCGTCCCCCGACCAATTATCTGTAAAATTATTAACACGACCAGTAGATGGAATATCAAGTTCTTCATCAAATTGAAAATCCAACTCCTCCTTTTCAACCGGCTGTTTATTAACTGTAAGTGGGAAAGAAGGTGGAGTTGAAGCTTTACCAACATTTTCTTTTGTTCCAGCGTTTCTAGTTCGACGTTTAACCTCCTTCCATAAATTAGGTACACCTTCCGGTAAAGGAGAGTCATCATCTTCATCATTTTTTGGGGTTGTCTCAAGTTTCTTGCTATTTGGAGCCGTTTCCTTTTCATTAGGTGAATTGAAAGTTCCATTTCCGGAAATGCCTTTTAAAAGTTTATTCAAAGGTGACGACGAAATTTCCTCAGATTGTACTTTGTTTGTGTGTTTATCTGACTTTTGCAATTTTTCTTCTCTTACTTGATCCTTATGTTCAGCCTTTTGAATTTGACTAGATGCCGGCGATAAAATATTCTCATTTTTTTCATTTTTTTGAGCCTCTAATTTCAACTGTTTCTCAAATGTTTTTGTTAATGAGCTAATTACGACTGGCGAAGTTTTTGGTTCAGAAACTTCCTCGGAACTTTCATTCGCTTCAGCAGCAGCTTCCTGAACAGCTACTAATAACTCGTCTTGATCTGTTGCAATATTTTTTGAATTTCTAGGCACAGGTGGTGGGGGAATACTCTGCAATGGAGTAGAAACTATTTGTATAGGAGGATTATTTTGAGCTACTTGTACGCCGTCATTTATTGGCCATATAGTTGGATTTGTTTTTGTGCGAACTTTATATCCATCGACTAATTCGATTTTGTCTGACTCTTTTATAGCCTTCAGAATTAATGCAACATCAGCAGTCAACGCTAAAACGCGATGAAAAGAAGCTATTAATGTGACTGGTATAAAACCTTCTGGATCCATTTTTCTTCGCAAAAAGAAATCTCCACTTAAGTTTTCTTCACTAAAGTAATATTCTCTAAAAATATAAAAAAATAATTTAATTTTTTTAAATTCGAAATTAATTAAAGTAACTAATGCAAATGTGTAATAGGTAAACAAATTCTTACATTTGTTTTTTAATAGCATCTTTTAATGATAATGCATCTAAGTCAATAAAAGCTTGAGGTATACCACTATAATAGTGTGTTCCCATTAATACAACCGGTCTTCCTTTACCTTCTGTGTAATAATTTATGTAACCGTTTGCTGCACGTGAATTTCTATTGCGATTTGGTCCAGAACGATAATTACCTGATGGTCCTCGACCACGATAATTTGAAGTTCTATAACGCCGAGTTTTTGATGTTCTTTCATATCCAGTACCACTATTACCCTCACCACGATTTCCAGTACTTTCATTTTCATGATGATAATCACTGCGCTCACGATCGCGAAAGTTAGGACGACGGTTTCTTGAGATTTTGTTGCGAGATGATTTTGAAACATCTATTGGCAGTGGTTTCCATTTATGTTTTGGAATTTTCTTATTCAAAGCACCATTATTTGATGTCGATGATGCGTTATTATTATTACCATTACTTGTATTTTGACTCTCAGAACTGTTTGGTACATTACTCGATGTAGATGCAACCGGACTTTTAGCTTTTGTTTGCTTTTGATCTCCAACTGTTAAAGCGGATGAATTCTCAGTAGATGGTGCTACATTTTCAGCATTTGATTTTGATTTCGTTGAATCTGTGCTGTTCGATAATTTTGTTTTGTGCGAATTTTTTCGTGTTCTAATATGATTTTCGTTATTTGTTCCCTTACCAGTTAAAACAGGCCAATCTCCTACATTTGAAAAATCACTTGCCTATAATATAATGGCGCGTTAAAAACAAAATTGACTGAATTAAAAGACAAACAAAAAAATACCTTTTGATTAATCTTTCTTTTATCCTTTGAAGCTTTAACAATTGTCGGTTCGTTTGAGTCATTTTTATTACCTATAAATAAAAAAAAAAAAAACAATAACTTTTTAATCATAATAATAATGGAAAGTGTTAAACTTAAATCTTACTAGTATTTTTCGATTGTTGTTTGGGTTGGAGAACTCTTTTATCAAGAGGAACGGAACCAGTTTTTGGGCTTGGCTGCTTTGATACCTGTAGAAATAAAAAAAAATAATTTCTTAATAATTTCATGTACATGATAAGCTAATCTTAATTTTAATTATATATATTGATTTTACTAAATAAATAATTTAAAACATTCTCAAAAATGGAAAGTACAGATAAGTTCAGCTCACTTAGAGAAGATGCATCATACTTCCATGTATGTATGTATTTACAAATACATGTATAAATAAAAAATATCAATATTTTCTTTCTTTTTTAAAATAAGATGAATGAACAAAATAAAAAGCAAAAAATCGCATACGTATATACTACATGTATGTAACCAGATTCTTTATAATTACATTTGGAATATAGCCAAATTCTCACACCCAGACATAATGAAAATTGCCAAAAAATTTTTAACTTAAATCAAATCGATTGAGGTCATTTTAAAAATGCAAGTAATGTTAATTTTTTATTATTTATCCATTTCAATATTATAATATTAAAAGTTTTATATAAGTATGTAAAATTCACCAATAACTTTTTAACTCAAATTTCTTCTGATATACATAATGTCGGTTTAACACAGTGGAAAGGAAGAACTTGATTTACACAAATAGTCTACTTGTATGCAAAAAATCATTTTGTCCACTAGTATAAATTTTATATCTTTAGTTAGAATTTTTTCATCTAATCGCTTGTGAATTTATTGCATTTGACAATTTAAATTTTACGTTATGTTTTTCGTATTTCGATTCAAAGTAATTGTAAATAAATTGAAAAAATATATATATGTATATATGTATATATATATTAAAATCAGTGGTCGAGGTTGCACGTTAATTGTATTATTAATTATTAAAATAAATCTGTTTTCAGCTATTCATATATTTCCAGCAGATTATTCCATCGTGCTTCAGTTCAGTAGTCTAAGGCCATTAAAACAATAAGCTCTTTTGACATATTGTCGCCCTTTGATATATTGTCGTCCTTGCACTAGGTTTGACTGATACAGTAGGTAAATCGGGGGCCTCTCTCTTCCCATCACGATTTTATCACCGTATTATTCTTCATCAAGATTTTTTCAAATTTTTTTATTGATCTATTATACATTGCTTAAAAGTTACAACTAAATAAATTTCCTAATAAAATTTAAAGAATTAATGCGATATATATGTATATATTTGTGTTTAATATATGATAGGTTTCGAATTTCTTTTAAAAGTTTTTTTTAAAAATAAATTTGTGCACCTGAAAATTGGCAAGGAAATTTATAATATATGTAGATATATTTGGAAAATATTTTATAAAAAATTTTTGTCACATTCTGTTGAAAGTATGAAATTCTCTTGGCAAAAATTAACTTATAAAATGTTCCGTAACGCGTTTTTCTCTATAAGAAGTAGTAGAATGATTGTAAAATTATTAAGAAATACCGGGATGGAATCACATCCCCCCTCATTTCGATCAGTGGTTAAAATAAAGAAAGTAGTATGAATCAAATAAACATATAAATTTTATTAAACTAAAACAATCCTATTTTGTAACTTTTCACAAAAATTAATCACGAATAAAAAGTCTTTAACTTTTAATAGTTTAACATACTTAAGTATAACTAATTCAGAAAATCTTATTTTTACAAGAAGGGTAAATTGATTTCATATTGCTACATATGTATATACATGAGTACATATGTTTAGCAAAGCAATTCCAATATAAACTTAAATTAATTTCAATCAACAACAAGAGGATCGTAAGCTTGGTAAGATTTAAACTTTTTCGTACAAGTTAAAAAAATTTTTGTTACGTGGAATCAAAAATGATCAGCTTTATTAAAAGACTGACTTGTTTCTATATGACTTGTTTATCGACAACAAAAACATAAAACAAAAAACAAAAATTAAATAAAAGCTATTAATTATTAGAGCACATGGTAAGTAGTGAAATCAATATTCTTAATGTATAAAAAAATAAAAAATAATAAAATGATAAAGAAAACCAAAATAAAAAACAGGTTCTAAACGCAATATTTTCATACAGAGTAGCGGTTTGTTAAATTTCAAACTACAAACATAAATTTAAATACAAACATGTAAAAACTACATTCATATAAATTTAATTTAATTTAGTTTACTTAAATATTTAATTGTGAAACCTGTTCTTAATGTTAGTTAAACAGTTGCTCAAAATTGTTACTTAAAGTATGTATGTACATACGTTTTAGTTAAAACAAAAGTATCGAATTGTGTGGTATCAAAAAATCAGTTCAAATCAAAATTATTTCACATATGTTTACGCAAGAGCACATGGAACAAGGTCATAAGTTAAAAACGATTATAAAGTAATAAATACATACATAGTTGCTGCTCAAATACAATTCAATTTTTGCTTCTTTTTGTAGCACATTTAATTCAATTAATTAAATATCTCGCAAAAAAAAAGTATTTTAATTAAATAACTGTTATAATTATGTCTTTAGTTTCTGTTAGGTCTACAATTTCAATTCAAAATTTAAAAAAAAAAGTTTAAAATCGATAATAATACAAACTAAACACATAAGAATTTAAGTTCATACAGGATGTCTCATATCTAAATGCACAGCTATTGACCATTGTATAGAATCTCATGAATAGGTAATAATTTTGTTTGTATGAAGACAAAGTTACAGAACTTAAATAATTTCTACTTTATTCTTTTATTTTTTGATATTTTTGGTAAAACTAAAACCAGTTAAACGCTCCTGTGTTAGATAGCCGCATGATTAATTACGATTTGTATAAGACTTGTACAAATACATACATATGTTCTAAATATTTTTGATTTTCAATTGAATGCAAATTTTCTGGAAATTTTCTGGTTCATGTGATTAGGTAAGTAATAAAATTATCATTAAATTAGAACTAGAGCTTATTTTGTAAACGTAATTATTATTTTAGAAACCTAAAATAATAGTAATAAAATTGGAAACAATAGTCCTGCAATTTATAAACAAATCCACTTAAAAATTTATTTATTAAAATTTTGCGTTACAAATATTGAAACAATACGTGTTAAGAAAAGCTTTCTTATTTATATTTCGTTACTGTTTGCTATTAACCATAAAAAATTATAATATATTTATATTTCAATAAAAAATTCTAATTTATTCCTATTATACCCAGAAATTATAATTTATGAATATGCAATATGTTTTTACATCATATAATTACATTTGGTTTTTAAGTTAGTTCTTAGAATCTACTTATTATCTGCATAAAATTAGTAAATTTGCACGTCAACAAATTTTAGTAAATATGCGGTTATCGTTTTTTAATTTAAAATGATAACAATTGATAATTAAATTTTTTATATAAAAATTTTAATCAAAGCAAAATTATTAGATTTATAAAGGTTTCATTGAATAATTTAATGTTGAAAGAGTTAGGCCCCAAAAAAATCGAAATTGAAAAAAAATATAATAATCGAATAAACAAAAAACTCTGTAAAGTTTCCAATATAAATAGGTACTAAAGAAATATAGACATAAAGAAAAAAAATCCAATTTTTAGCGAAATGTCGGCATTTTGACTTTCAGTTAAAAAATTTTGAGGAATCTTTAAATCTAAACTGTTCGTCAGAATGCGGTTGAAGTAAATGAATTATCAAATAACCAATAGGGGTTTTGATATTTTTGATACAATATCTATGACAACAATGAATTCACAGATTTTACTGGAACACGTTTACTGGAATTTGACATTTTTTATCAAATCTAGGATAATATTTTTAAACTTTATATTTTAGTTTGGTTCGACAATTTTTAAAGAAGTTGGAATAGAAATTCCAGAAAAAATGAGTTAGGAAAAAATATTTAAATGCTTCAAGACTGCAATATTCAACAAGACTCAAAAACTCGATATTGGGCGCAATTTAAAATATACTGCACAATACAAATTATAATTTGCTAGTTAATTGTAGTTGCGGCTGATTTTATTTTTTCATGCTTAACTTTACCTTTAGAAAAATACGCTTCTTATTTGAGATAAAGAAAAAACAATCTGCACAAATTGTTATATAGGTATTACACTACATAAAAATTTACACAGAGACTTTTGTATTGTTACAGTTTTTCGAAAACTTTCTATTGTATTTGATTTATCTAACCTAAAAATGAAAGAGCTTAACTGTAGATAAAAATAAAAAAGAATAAAAAGTTACTACATTTCAATAATTTTCTTTCGTCACGTTTCGTCTGATCTAAACCACTACATAAGTGCTCTTTTTTCAGTTAATTGAAAACTAAACACAACATCTTACACCTGCATAGCAAAAGAAAAACACTTGATCAATCATAAAACAAGCGGATTGAATTCTTCTTTCAATTTTTAAGAACACAAGTTTAATATGATGTAGGTATGTATATGCATAACACACTGTTTGCTATCATATAGAGGTCAATTGAAAATCTTGCAAATTGAAGCAGTATTATAACCGATAGTGTTTTCTTATAACCCGCAAGCAAATATCGCATTAACAGCAGAAAAACAGAATTTCAAGGATTCATGTTATACGCAGTTATACGCATACGTGTATGCATAGAACTGAATTTCTACTATTTCTTCGTCGTATTAATCTGCTTTGAATGAAGCTCATTTTTTGAATTAAAATAGTTTCAAAAATTTCTACCAAAAAGTTAAATCAATTGAGAAGCGAATAGAGAAAACATTTACGCGCAATGAAAGTTTCAGAAATAAAAAATCTTTAAAAATTTTTAGATCTATCAAAATTATTTGTTAAATTTTTCTAAATTTATGTTAATGGGAAATTTCTATTAATAAAGTATCAATAGAAATTTAGTTATAATTTCATTATTTAGAACTACTTAATTTTAAAAATTATTTAGAATTAATTTTGAAGAAAATATAATAAATAACCAGCATCTGCAGTCCATTCGGAAAGTTTAAACAATGTAAAACAATAGATTACAAATTTGAATAAGAACCAAGTAAAAATGTTATCAAAAAATTTTAACAAAAAAAAAATTTAAAAAGTTAAAAATAAAAAAT